GGTCGCCCTTTGTTTGGAAGTTTGGCATATCAACTCCGCCCACGTTCCTTTAAATCGTGATGATGGCGGCTTACTACCTGACGCCTGTTTACACCTCGTCAGAAAAAAGGGCAGCTGATTAGTGAGCATGTAGAAGGGCCTCTTGTTGCAACGATCACGGGTCACCCCTGATGAAGGCGCTAGACATGAGTGTTAGCTGAATTGGTTAGAGCGCCGGATTGTGTTGTGCGGTAGGTCGAGGGTTCGAACCCCTTGGTCTTAAAGTAAATGAGGAGAAATTGCTACTTTTCTATAATCAAGAAATGGATAAATATTCTAGTCTTCTTGGATAAGGACGAATAAACCATAGGGCCCGTCTCCTGCAGGGTTAGGGGGTAGGAGACGTTAATTTCCCCCGCACGAGATTACTGTGTTGTGGATCTCCTCCCTGGACTGGGATGGGTAAGAATTGGCCCTGAAAAACCCCCGTGGGGAGTGGTCATCTAACCTATGTATGTATGTATGTATGTATATGTCGAAACGTTGGGTCGATGAATTGTAATTTCGGTTACATTCATTAAATCTTTAAACCAGAGTATCATCAAACCATATATGATTATCTACTTGATTGCTGTGTGAACTTAGATATATAGTTCTTTGTGGATGTTTGACTAATAAATCATAAATCATAAAATTTAATTCATATTTAATTTAAATTAAAATTTAATTCAATTTAATTCAACTTAAATCATAAAATTTAATTCTTTGTAGAATCCCTGTCGTAACAATCCATGCTATTATGGTAGTACCTGTCAAGTTGGATTCACAAGGAAAGGTTTTCGCTGCATCTGCCCCATTGGATTTCCTTCAATAAGATGCTTTAAAGGTATTGTACATCAGTTTCTCTGTTACCGACTGACACACGATAAATTTTGCGGTATATAGGTTAATTTGAATGAAACAGATAATACTTGAAGCGCGAATGAAATATAAGTAAAGAAACGATCTTCGCCGACAAGCTGCAATTTCATGAAATAGTTGCTTTAATTAAAGTAGCAGGAAAAAAAATTGGGTTCAACGGTATTCTGGAGACACGGGTTCTACTGCTGAAAAAACTTGATCGGCTGGAGTCTAATCGAAATCCTCTCTTTGTGATATTAGCCAAGTCTTGCAGCGACGTAAAGACGCTCGACCCAGCAGTTAAAACCGGCCCCTATGTCATAGATTCTGATGGTGAAGGAGGATTGATACCGTTTAATGTCACCTGTAACATGACTGACAAGGATGGTGTTGGCGTAACAGTAATAGGTCATAACAGCGAAAATAAAACAAAGGTGGACAAATGTCAAAAACGAGGCTGTTACTCACGTAACATCCTCTATACAGGAGCGAACTTTTTTCAACTAGAGAGTCTTACCAAGGCTTCGTTGTTCTGTGAGCAGTTCATCAAGTATGAATGCAAAGCTTCAAAGATATTTCCTAAGCCCAAAAACAAATCTTCAATCAGACCTTTCGCCTGGTGGATGTCACGGGACTTTATCAAAATGACATATTGGGACGGAGCAGCAGCTGATAGAAGAATGTGCGCATGCGGAATAAAAGGCACGTGCGCAAAAGGAGACAAGTCTCGATGCAACTGTGATGCGAATGACAAAAAATGGCGTGAAGACAGTGGCCTCCTCACTAACAAGATACATCTACCCGTCAAGCAGCTGAAGTTTGGAGATACGGATCTCAAACACGAGGAGGGTTACAATACCTTAGGAAAGTTTAAGTGCTATGGAACTGCCTAGTTGTAATTATGTTGCTGAACTTGCTCTTCTTCAACTTTGAATATATATATAGCATGGTCAAGTTGTTCGAGATACGATTACTACTTGATGACACCTTGTATCTAGCCTTAGTATGATCTCTTACTGAGTTTTTAAGTTTTCAGTTCAAGTTATACATTGCAATATTTCCACTGCTAAGGCTCAGTTAAGTTAAGATAAGTTAACAAACGCTTGTTGAGTAGTCAGTATTAATAATCAGAGTGGCAAAGGCTCGAATCAGTGGTTGGGAGAAGATCGAGTTTTATCGTGAGGAGTATTACTGTACTGCAAACTGAAAAAACAATCTTGATCCAGAAACGAAATTGTTCTTCTGTAAAATAACCTCACTGAAACAATTGACTTGAAATTCGCGGCTCAAGGAACTAAGACTGGTCATTTAATTGCTTCTTTTTGAAAGTTAACCGTGATTTGAAATTATCTACTAACTAGATTCATCAAGCTAACTTAGTCAACTTTAAGCTTACATTTGCTTTGCTAATAACTCTTACTATATACTTAAAAAGCCATAGCCGCCTTTGATTAGTCAATGCGAATTTATAGATGTGTAATTTCGTGGGATTTGTCATATACCTTAAAAAAAAAAAGTGTACTTTGGATCCGTTTGGTTGAAATTTCATAAATAAACTTTCTTTTCTTTAAGCGAAGTGAATAAAAAAAGGCTTAGTTGTTCAAGGTTTATGCACCATTATGATCCTGCATGAGCTTTATAAAATATGTGAAAAGTTCATCATCCGCTCTCCTAAAAACGGAGGCGAGTCAGTGCAAAGCATTATTGTAACCGCGACTGCTGGATTAACTGTATGGAACAGCACTGTGCCAGGACTAGTATCAGTTCTACGCTCTCAGTGGAGGAATTTGATGGAAATCAATTCAGCTGATGGGGCTAAGGATGAGTCGAGCGGGTGGTAAAAGCTGGATTTACAAATAGAGGTTTTCGTTGTGTTTGCCCAGCTGGACTCCCAGGTATAAACTGTGAAGGTATTGTCTTTCTTTCTTTACGAATACAGTCATAACCAGTCTAGCTGGAGAATCTCGATCAGGGTCGAAGGATTCGGAATTGGGATCAAGTCAGAATATTTTCTTAAAAATCAAAGACAGAAATCC